ACTTAGAACAAAAGATGAAGCATTTGCTAAATTTAAAATTTATAAGGCTGAAATTGAGAACCAAAAAGACAAGAAGATCAAAATGGTTCGAAGTGATAGAGGTAGTGAATATTTCTCAAATGAATTTGATGCTTTCTGTGAAAAGCATGGTATTATTCACCAAAAGTCAGCCCTTTTTACTCCTCAACAAAATGGAATGGCTGAAAGAAAGAATAGAATCTTTATCGATATGATTAACTCTATGCTTCTTAATGCTAAATTGCCTAATGATTTATGGGGGGAAGCTTTACTTACAGCATGTCATGTTCACAGTAGGATTACATCTATGAAAACACATGTCTCTCCATATTAAGTATGGAAAGGAAGAAAACTAAACTTGATGTATTTAAGGGTGTGGGGCTGTCTAGCCTTTTATAGAATAATTGACTCTAAATCATCAAAGTTAGGAGCTAGAGGTATTAGAAGTGTTTTCGTAGGTTATGCTGAAAATTCCAAGGCTTATAGATTATTGAATCTAGATTCTAATGTTATTGTAGAATCAAGAGATGTTGAATTTGTTGAGAACAAGTTTAGCCTTGATTCTTCCATTGAATTAGAATCTAATGTTAATCAATCATATGTTGACATTCCCGGTACCTCCACTAATAAAGGAAAGAGTCTATTACATCTTTCGAACCGAGAAGAAGTCAACGTGAAAGAAAAGAAAAGAACCTAGCACCGGATTCTATTTCATCTCAAGCTTTAACCTTTTTGGTTGAAGGAGATAGAAATGGTGTACTTAATAAAATACCATTGTTGCTTAATATAGAGGAAGATCCAAAGACATTTAATGAAGTTATGACTTCAAGGGATGCCTCCTTTTGGAGAGAGGCTGTGAATGATGAAATGGATTCGATTATCTCGAATCAAACTTGGATCTTGGTCGATTTTCCTACGGGATCAAAACCAATAAGCAACAAATGGGTGTTTAGGAGAAAGTATAATACCGATGGGTCTATACTAACATTCAAAGCTAGATTAGTAGTTAAAGGCTTTAAACAAAAGCGTGGTATAAACTATTTCGATACATATGCTCCGGTTGCTAGATTGACATCCATAAGATTGCTATTTGTAATTGCATCAATATGCAATTTGCATGTGCATCAAATGGATGTTAAGACGGCTTTTCTAAATGGTGATCTTGATGAGGAAATCTATATGGAACAACCCGAAGGGTTTGTACTACTTGGAAATGAAAAGAAGGTTTGCAA